CATGGGGGCCAGTGCGTAGTTTTGGGGGGGATCGATGTAAACCCTGAGCCAGCACAGGGAGAGCCACCCCCACAATGCTTCCCACAGCCCCTTCCAGGTGTCATGCTGAGCACCAGCATAACTGGTGGCCCAGCGTGGTTTTCCACTCACGCTGCCACGCCAGCCCGGGTCCCAGTGTGCCCCCCACCCGCCTGCCTGCTGAGGGGCTGTTTGTGCTTCCCCATGAGAAATCTGCTGCTCTGCAGAGTGACTCGGAATCATCCTCTGCAATGTCCTCCTGCCCTGGCAGGAAACTGTGGCTCCCAGACCCCGAACGAGCCACATGGCGTGCTGGGGTAGCCCTTCAGACCCGCAGATGCCACCACCGGGGCGGGCGGCAGCCAGGGTCCCCCCACAGCCAGCGCTGGGAGCCAGGGTGAGCTCCCACCCCACAGCTGTTGTCCCAGGAATGAGGCCGAAATCCCCCTCTGCCATTCCCTTGCCAGCACCCCCGAGCTGCGCCGCTTTGACCTTTCCAGAGAAATCTGCCTGGATGTCTGGGCTGTGCCCCCCTGGCAGCCCCGGCAGGGAGGGAGCGGGGCTGAGCGGCTGGTGGGGGCTGAGTGGGCTCAGTGGGACACTCTGAAGGTCGGGTCCAAAGGCACAGCCTGCCCCTGCCGCTCAGGGGCTGCCGGACCCGCAGGCTCGGCTGTCATCCTCCCGTGACAACGGCTGCCATCGCTGCTTGGAAAGGGTACAAATGCAATCCTGTTAATACAACAGTTTGGAGATCGTACGGCTGTGGTCTTGGATGGGATTGCAGGGACAGGGAGGGTGCTCTGTGCAGGCCCATTCCCAGAGAAAACTGAGAAGGGAACGCACAAGAAGCTGCTTTTAGACCTGGCCGCTTCTTGGAGCTACCTACTCCTGCACTCAAAGGGCCAAAGCCTTGTGCTCCTCGTAAGCCATTTGTGTCTGCTTGAAAGGAACAGTAAAAAGCCCCAGGGACTCAGAAGTTGTAAAGACACAGGAAAAAAACAAAACCAAAACTTCAAGCATGTGAGCACCTCTCCCAACCATACACAAATTGCTTCCATATTTTACAAGTTTTGAAGAGCAGGTGTATATGCTTTGTAAATCAGCCACCCTGACCCTGAAGCCATCCAAAACTCATGATCAAAAACTTCTGAGCATTTGAGGCACAGGTGACATCATTCTTTAAAGGGTTCCTTCATCTAAGTCAACAAAAAGGTAGGAATTTTTGAAGCAGAACAACAGAAGCCCTGAAATCTTGCTCTCTCTGCTGGGAAATGCCTTGCATAATGGGGACATAGACACACACAATCCCCTCAATATAACTGAGAAGTAAAACAGCCCCCATTTTCTGTACTTACAGGGTTAAGATGACCCACAGACAAGAGCTCCACTGCCTGTGATGTACAAGTGTTCAGAAACAAAATCAGTCCTTTTACCTCTGAGCTTTTTGCCTGCCCTCCCAAACCTCTGCATCCCATCTGGCCATGGCAGGCACAGCATGTGGACATGGCTGAAGGGATGCTGCCACCCAAGTTCTTCTGCAGTGCTCCTCACTGTAGTACCCCTGGATCTTTCAAGGACTGCAAGATCCCTCTGACCCCCATCCCACCCGTCAGGTACAGAAGTGTTGTGAGCTGCACCCATTTGCACCAGAGAACTGAAGACAAAGACCCCAAAGGCTTGCTTTAGGACAACTGCGGTGGTTCTCATCCCGCTTATCTGCCTTGCCTGGGTGCTGTGGGTTTATACTGAACTGCTGCGGTTCACACTTTGTGTGTCAAAGTTGGCTAGTACCATGCCATGTATCATAAACATCCCACACGGCTGGACCATGGCCACTATCAAGAGAGCTCAGGTTTGCTTACTTACCCCAGCAGAAGTCACAAGGGCTGCAGCCACAAAAGCAAGTCATGCAGCCCAGTAGGAGCAGATCTGTAGGGCAAGGAACTTGGGGCTCAGGATATGACATCTATATAACACACATTTTAGGGGGAGGTTACGTCAGACAAGCTGCAGTCTGGCTCTGTAGACTGAGCCAGGAACTGCATGGGGAGCTCCTGGACAGCATCTTCCACTTTAGTCTTCTCCAGAGAGCACCCAGCCTTGCACTCTGTGGCCACCCCACAAGGTGAACAGAAGCAGAGTGTGTAGGAGCAACCAGGAGGTTTGCTCCAAAGGGCGTCCCCCACCTGAACTGAGCCAGTAACACAGGCACTTCTAGACCATCCATCTGCCCTGGGCACCAAGGTGGAAGAGCCCCAGTATCGCTGCTCACCAGATACTGACTGACTTGTCCAAGCAGTCCAGGTGGATTCAGGCACACTGACACAGGCACAAGCACAGAAGGCACTGGCTGAGAAGGGGAAGGAGACAGAACATGTTTAGGACAACATGCTTGTCAGTGCTGCAGAAGAGGATGGACACAGAGGGGATGGTTCCTGCCTGTGCACACTGAGATACAGCAGGACAGGACAGAGATTTCCCTGCCATCTCGTGCCCATCTCCATCTCCATCCCCAGCCCACACCCTGCTCCTGCAGGCTGCAGGCAGCGGCGGAGGGAGGTGCACCTCAAACCCAAGCGCTTGCCCCACAGCTGTGTGAAGGCCTGGCCATGGGGATGGAGGCAGTGGGACAGGGGCATGCAGCTCAGCCCCAGCCTCCTCCAGGAGAAGGCGGTTGGGCGGGCTGGCCTGCAGCCCAGGCAGCTCCAGAAAAGAGCTGCTGTAAGAAGGATATGAAACCTCATCATTGTGAAAGCAGGAGGTGACGGTTCATGCTGAGGCAAGGGGCTCCGGGGTGATTTCACTGCCAGCATGAGATGCAGTTTGCTGCTTGCCACCCGGGAGGGCTGGGATGTGGGCAGACAACCTGCCCACCCCACTGCACCTCCACAGAGCTCTCCCCCTGGCACAGCAGCCACCAGAAGCCTCCAGGAGCGTTGTCCATCCCCACCAGCCAGGGCAGCTAACAGCGGGGCCAAGGTCCTCCAGGACCCAGCACCAAACCCACTGCTGCAAGACAACTCCTTCAGGGCTGGGGTGCTTTGGGGTTGAGATCCCTCCTTGTAGTATTGCACTAGGATTAACTTTAAGGAGGTACCAGTACCTGGTGTTAAGAGCTGTAGCTGCAGAAGCAGACACCCTGTGGTTAGACAACTGCCTTAAAATCACTCTCAGATGAGGCTCAGATAAAAACAGAAGTGCTAGTTTACAAAATCTAACCTAGGCAGCGGTTACAGAAGTTTATCATCAGACTTGTCCATGAAGGGTAACAAAGATCCTGATGCTTCTGCCTGCCTGGCACCCACAGCCTGCAATGCCCATGCACTGAGGCCAGTGCTTCTCCGTCTGTGGCCCCATCCATGTGTCACCCAGTTTCCTAAGTCTGCATTCAGGGAGAGAGGATTTGGGATGACGTGCCCACACTTTCTCTTCTATCCTAACACAATCTTTAAGATTTCTTTGTACTCCAACCCCCCTTCCCCTTTCTTCCTGGGACCTCTCAGTCTCCAGTGTAACCAGTAAGGGGCCAGAAATTCCTACCTCTGCTGACCCACCCTGCTGTGGGGTAAGATGTTTCACTTTTCTCCAGGGAAAGGGTCAACCTTTGGGCCATGGATTAACAAGATCCCACACTGGTCACACTGCCAAAGGTCACACATTACCAAGCCACAGGCTGAGCATGAAGCATCTCCCCACCAGCATGTCTACGGACACATGGAGAGCTGTAATGACGAGAGCCTGGCATGACAGTAACCAGCCACTTGCTTACCCCTAAGGGGGTGGGCTGGGGTGAGCTGGCTGCCCTCAAGCCCATCTCAGAAGCTGTGGGGTTTGGTTGCCTTCTCCCACTGCCAGTGTGTAAGACTTACTGGCACATGAAAGTCCATGCAGTTAGACACAAAAGGTTCTTCTTTTCCATTGCACCACTCTCTGCTTGCTTGAAGCTGGCAGCTGTTTGGTTACCCCCATCAATGCTTGAATTGGGTAATTGCAAAGGAAAACATGTTGGACTAAAACAGTAGAGAAAATATTGGTCAGTCAAAGGGCATAAATACTTAAGAAAATGCATCAAAGTGATACAATGAGGGTAAAAGGGGTTAATGCTTGTTTTTAGAGTCCTACAGGACTTAACTTGTATCTTTGGCTTTATATGGAAGAACAAAGACCGGAAGATAAAGGCAAACACCTAGGACAAAAAAGGTGGTCTAAAACCAGGAAGGTACCAGGTAGCACTAGTTTTGAGTTACATGAAAAAGCAGGGCCATCTCAAACAGCCAGATGCCCATGAAATGTTATTTTTGGACACCACTTCAGAACTGACTTGGAGGGAAGTGTGACATTTACTGAGTCACCTCCACCACTTCCTGCAACACCTGGAGCTTACTTCAAGGGCTCTCATTTAGATACTGAGAACTTGCTCACTGTTCAGGCTGAAAATAACACCATTTACTTTCATTTTTTTTTCTGCAAAGCTCTGCTGAAAGCATGATCTGTGATGCAACGGCCTCTGGTGCAGCTCCAGTGCCCATGTGCAGTTCACACGGCAGGATGAAAGAGCAGCTTAAAAGTTATCAGTCATATGCTACTTCTCCCAGGAGGTAATCACCAACACATAGCTACTTTCTCCTTGGATCAAGTAACCACCGATAAGACTTTCTTTTTCCAAGCTGCCCAAACCATGCTGCATCCTGAACACTGATGGAGCTTTCCGACGTTTCCTCTGACTGCACCACTAAGCTGTGGCCTCCTCAGCCTCAAACACACACCGCAGCGGCTGCAGCACGTACTGAAATCACTTTGAAGGACAGCTCTGAATCTCTGCCTTGGTGAAGAGTCATTCAGGGCTCCTGTGCCCCTGCCTGCTCCTGCCAGAGCCCTCCGGGGGTCAGGATGCACAGCCCCAAAGTGCAAGCAACTTCAGAGTAGAGGAGCTGAAAGGAAAAGTTAAAACAGCAAACACACACAAGTATTTATTTAGTTTCATATTTAATTTATTTTTACACATTTATTCTGTTTTTAAATTTTCCCCTTGCTGGGGATGTGAAACTGATGAATTCATAGTGTATAAAACCAGTTAGGCTTTAATCTCATCCTGTTTTCTATTTAGTCTATTAATAAGTAAAGGACAGATTTTCCACCTTGGTATTACAGAATGTACACAACATTTCACATCCAATCCAAAAACATTTGCAGTCTTTCTTTCAAAAGCCAAAGCCAGATAAAGAACATTTTGGCCTTGCAAAGTCATAACCTTTCATTAAAAGCTGTTGGATCAGCCACTTAAACCCAAGTGTCTTCCTTGGCAGGGCATCCATTTAAACAACTGCTCACACAGGATATGATGTGAAAATGTTTAATCTGTGGAAAAGAAAAAAAAAAGGAAAAAAAAAGCAAAAAAAAAAGCACCAAATCCTAACTTTTGGTGAATGTCCGAGAGCTTTTTGTAATGTGTAGAAATGTCAAATGTGAAAGAGGAACCGAGTTGTTTGTTGTTAGAAATGTCTCCTCCTGCATCACGCTGGCCTGTGAGAGCAGTACATGCAGCAGGACCGTGGAAGTGCTGGGAAAGGATGAAAAACATTCCTTTCTTATGAAATACGCCGTTTTCTCAGGGGCTATTCCACTTCAGAGTCAGGCGGGAGTAGAAGCACAAAGCTGTGGGAAGGGAGCTGTGGAACCACGTTGCTCAGCCTGTGCGTTTTGATGACACAAACCCCCAAAATCCAGCGAGCAGGGGCTCTGCAGCGCGGCGCTGCAACGGGAGAGCCGTGCTCGCCCAGCAAAGAGCAAGCCCACTGGTGCAGGGACCGTGTCGATGCTCCGGTTGCTCTGGTGCTTTGGGCAGACTCTAAATTGAAGGGGAGAGTTCATTTGTTTTCAACCTCTCCTTGGCTTCTCTAGTCTGGGATATTGACCAAAAGGCACAGAAAAATGTAATGTGGACAATAAACTGCTTATTAAAAAAAAAACCCCAAACATTGCTGCATGAAGCCTCCAGGGCCTTGGAGGTTTCACACACCTATAGGACTGGACATTCAGCTCTGAAAAATGAGGCTGAGCAGAGTGAAACAAAATGGTCTTCTTTCCAGCTGGACGTATTTTACAGCTTGTCAGTCCACCACATTACGTGGAAGAGAGGAAAGACCAGTTGTGACGTGTACCCAAGCTGAGATTTTCTGATCATCCCTTTTTTCATCTTTCTACTGGTAAACTTGGGAATTTTGTTCAGCTAGCCTTTGAAAACCCAGTGCAGGCTGAGGCTGGTTATGAACCAAAACAAGGGCTGTTGTGGGTGACCGTGTTTCCTTTCTTGTGGGACTTGTCAGAAGAAGAGGCATGCTGCATTTTTACTGGAAGGGGAGATTAATCATCTAGGAGATGAAAACACAAGGGAAAAGAAATAGGGTTTATTGAGACGCTTCCAGTTGAATTTCCAACCTGCCTCTTGCCCAGCATCTGCCTGGCCTCATGGGAAGGCTCAGCACCCAAAGGTCTAAGGGGCTCTGGACCATGTGAAGCTGCAGGGGAACGTCCAGGTGCCAGAGACAGGCACCTCCCACACTGCCACAAAGGCAGCAGGATCCCACGCACCACCACGTTCTTCACAAAATTACAAAAAATGGTAATTTATAGTAAAGCTTTCCCAATTAAAGACCATAAAGCTCTGCAGTTAATCAAGCTGATTAAATGAATCAAACTTGTTAAGAACAGTTTTATCAAAACATTTACATTTCTGCTGAGCAGAGATTCATGTGACTTTGAACTGCAAAGTACACAGGTTGCCATGAGAGGACTGAAAAGAGGATTGGGAACATTAACCATGTGAAAAACCAAGCCTCCCCCTGCCTCTCCCAGCATTCATTTAAACAAAACATCTCCCTGGCCCATTAATTTCATCACACTGCCGGGTATATTTTTCTGGAAAGAGAGGTATCACCTACCCACAGTGGGAGGCTTTCCTCACACGTGGGTTCAAAGGTGGAGACTTCACCACCCACCTTACAAAACATCTCCAAGCCAAAGTGCTGCAAGACGTCCTGGGAGAGCAGCACCCCTCGCCCAACCCCGAGGCCTCCCATGGCCTCATCTCTCAGGTCTGAGAACACCTATAGAAGAAACACGTCTGTAAGAGTACACAACACAAACATTTCCATAGCTGTCTGGAAGATTAAAGTAACTCAGCAGGGGATTTCTTCCTTTTATATGTCTGCTCAGTTTCAGTCCCTGCAGAGCTAGGTCCAATAAAGGCCTTAGATGCCTAACTTCTAAATTAGACACTCAAACCTCCTCTTCAGCTGTCGCCCAACCATAGAGAGGTGTACTGCTCAGAGGCACTTAAATTGAAGTTTCTCCAGCATCCTACATGCTTCAGAAGAGAGCTGCACAGGCTGATGATGAGGTCCCACATGCCACAAGAGGACCCACTGACAATGTGTCCTCCCAGAGCCTCATTTGATGGGGCTGAGCTGGGAGCAGACAGAGCTGTAATGGCTGGCCACAGGCTGAACTGGTGTTGAGGGTTTTCTCTGAGCTTGTGGAGAGAGAGAGGCACCCTCTCACAGCACTCCACATCTATTTTAGGATAAATAACCTGTAGGGGTGGCTGTCTCTCTGCTCTCTGTAGAGCAAGTCATGATGGAAGGACTTACACTGAACACCTCACTTCTGGACAGCTCAAATACAGTCGTGTCCTCAAATATTCCCAGCAACATAAACACCAACTGGATAACAAACCATGGCCAAGAACTTCACAGCCTGTCTAACCACACGGCAGCAGGCATGCCGGCTTGCTGAAACGGCAGTCCTCACAGCTAGTTAGCCCACATACACTCAGAAGGCAGGTTAGTGTGTCCTCCAGATCCTTCTCAAATATTTAGCCCACTTCATTGATGGATGTTCTTTGCTGCTGCCACATGCACAGCTATCCCCAGCAGCTAGTTTGATCGTGGCACTGTGTGTCTGCCCAATGATGACCTACTCATTGAGGATTCAAACAGTGAGAGTGCACAAGCCCAGCTAAAAAGGCGGTGGGAATGTGCCTTCCCCTTTCTGTAGAAGAGCATGTTCCAGGAGAAGATCTGCAGATTCAGCATTTTACAATGAGTTCTGCTAAGGCAGAGTCAAACTTGGCATCAGCGCTCCATCTTCTGTGCCATATGCTTTATTCGTCTGAGAGTTGTTTTTCCTGCAGGGAAGGGTGGGTTGGCAGGTATGGAAAGAAATTCATTAAAATTACTTTGGTTGGTTCTTTGTGCTGGCCACCATTTCCATTTTTATTATTATTTCTCATACCCAGAACAATCCTGAAACAAAGACATCCTCTCCTGAAGCACAAAAATACTCATGAAAGGAGTGTTCTGAAAGGCCATGCTCCTTGGATGCGCCTGTAGAGGTTCCAAGTTGTGGCTGGAATATATCTAAAGAGAGTGGTAGAAAACAAGAGGCTGATAATAAAAGTAACATGTTATGAAAGCAAATATACTGACATGCCATGGAACAACCTGGGTATTGGTAAAGGCACCTTATCTGCTTATGCACAAGCCACTTGCCTAGTTTTGCAACAACAGGTTTCTCAGAGAGTGCTTGTACTGAGCTACCTATTCCATTTTGCACTGCTTGTCAGATAAATGGCAACCTTTCTAATGGAAAGACAGACATTTGATTATTTTAGGTTCAGGGATTCTGGCCAATTCCTTCCCAAAAGTGGCTGGGGTTGAATAGCCAAAGAAAATTTATGCACTTAAACTTAATGGGGCTTAAACACTGCAAGTAACAACATAGAAATGGACAGAAGCCTGAGGGGTAGCAGAAATCTCCAAGACAAGGACTTTTCTGCTCAGAGAAACTGCCAGCAGCTCCTGATAGTGGCCATTATGAACGTATTTGCATGTTCTGCTCTTTAAATGTATATATTATTTTCAGTTAAAAAGAAGTCCGCATTCATTCTCAGAGTCCTGTGATCTTTCTGCACCAAATGGTTTCCAGCTCTCTCCATAGGCTGTAGCTAGTTCTTATTCACCCATACAAAACAAAGCTTTGAAGGGTTCAGACCTCAAAAAGAGAAAAATTAACCCAGCAGCCACAGGCAAACAGGGTGGGACATTTGGCTTCCACAGCTTTGGAGAAACTTCCAGTTCACTGCCAGTTTAACACAATGGTACTGGGGAGCCACCCGGACAAAGCCCTTTGCCTCTTTCCTTTCCCTGATTGTGAGGTTAGGTCCAAAACCCACTTCTAATGCCTGCAGGGAAGAAATAGTCAAAAAGGTTTCTTAGGAAAAATGGAGTCTGCATAGCTGTCCCAGTAAACGCTCTTCAGGTAGTGCATGTTTCACAGGCCGGGCTTAGGTGTCATTTGCAGAATAGGTGGAAATTGTCTCCTTTCATGTCCTAATGCACTTTGAATATAAAGATGAAGCATTGCCTGCATATACAAAGTGCATGTATCATTCCAAAGCTTTTACCTGTCCAAACAATCAGGTCTTAAAACCTCTGCTCGAGTTTCAGCAGAATGCATTAGTGCCCAGCATAACCGAGGGCTGGGCTGAGGCAGCTCTGGCCCGCCCTTCTCCAGAAGAGCCTTCCTCACCATTTTAGTGACTCTTCCTTTCCATGGAACCAAACTGCCCCTGTCCGCCTGCCCAGTCCCCAGGGAGCACATAGTGACGCTGTGAATGGGAAGGAATTGTTTCCCAGGCTGGAGAATTACAAACCTGTAAAGCTTTTTTTTTAAGGATTTTTTTTTTAAGGATTGTTTTGGATTTAGTAATGAGGAAGAGAAGAGTGCACAAGTTTCAGTTTCTCATTATGATTTCAACCTCAAAAAAAACCGTCTCTGAGCCAGGGGAGCGGGAAGAAAAGCAGCATCTAACAGCTCCTGCCTGGGACATGAGCAATGCAAGGAAATATATTTGGAAAAATAATCTGTAGCAGCTCTGAAAAGGAGCTGCTGCATAGGGATATCTAACATAGGGATAAGAGTGAGTAGCAGACTACGTGTTGGTTTATAAAATCAGAGGGCCTGATTTTGACCTGCAGAGAGGTGAAGAGCATCAGACAATGGAGCAGAAGGATGATGGCTTCTCTCTGCAGCGTGCTGCTGGGACTGAGCCATCCTCTAAACAACGGCAGGCACTCGTGTGCCAAGGAGATGTTGGCATATTGGAAATAATTCAGTAATGAACAACAATCAACTAACTAAAGGGAAGATTAAATAACTAAATAGTACAGTTTGGGTAAATAAATGCCTCAGAGGGAGATAAAATCATTTGAAGGTGTCAACATCAAGGAGAGAGTGCTGTTTACACAGCTCTAGATGAAGCGTAACAAGAAAGGAAAATACCTCTTCCTGCAGAAAAGGAATATGCAGAGTGGCAGCAAGAGCTGCCAGTGCCCTGCCACTAACTCTTGCAGCCCTCTCAGCCCCCTGCCAGAGCCTCCACTGGCGCTGAGGCTGTCAGCTGAGCAGGGGGGAGTCCCCAGAACCGCTCAAACCCGCCATGATGAGACCTTCCTGCAAATCGACCTGCCACACGCACCACGTGTGCCATGGGCCAGGGCCAGCGTCCCCCTGTGCAGCCCTCTCCTGCGGGGAAAGAGAAGTCCCACGGGAGTTTCCCTTCCCGCTTTACCATCACTAAAATACCAGTTCTCCTCAGCATTTGGTTCAATAGTGAGCCACAAGGTAACTGCTCAGCCTGCAAAACAGCAAGTCCACCCCTGGCACCTGCAAAGGCCATACCGCAAAGGCAGGCCCAGGATTCGCCTGTAGCGATGGGCTAACCCAACGCGTGGCGGCAGGATTTCACGCCTACACCTACGTCTTCTCTGGTGGGGCCATCCACAGAGCCAAATTTTCTCATCTGCCCCTCTGAGCGCTGTCTGGAGCTAAAGTTGCTTAACACTTCCCATTAATGACTGCTTTCCGCTACGCACAGCTTTGCCAAAGCTCAGCTGCTCGAGCCCAAATACTCCATGCTGGATGTCTGCCTCAGGCAGACTCCTTTGGTAATTTCTAGCTAAAATAATTTGACTGTCTCCTAGAATAAGATTAGCAAGATATATGTTAGCTTGCTCTGTTCAAATTGAGAGATTAAGTGCCTTCGTCTTCAGCGGCTGGCACCGATACTCAGGCGGGGAAGGGGAATGAATGTGCCTTCACGAGGGTCCTAAGCTTTCCCACCTGTGGACAAGTTACAAGTTACACAACACTTCACTCTGCACGTGCCTGGTGGGGGCTTGTTTGAGTTTGGCGGATGATTTATTTGAAGACTCCATCTGTTTTGGTCTTGCAGAGCAGAGAAAGACATTGGCTGCCCCTGCCATCACCGAGGGCTGGAGTCTGCCGTGGTGTGAAGGCAGAGTGGGGATTCTCTTGTCATGCCCAGCTGTAACGAGGCAGGACGAGGACCCTTCCCCACACAGCCTCCGCTCACCTGCCGCAAACCGTGTGCCCTGGGCATTAAAAGAGGTAGAGCTGTCCTGAGAAAAAAAGATACATTTACATATGCATTTGATCCTGGCAGCTAAAAGCAACACTATCATGATGCCTGTGATAAATCTAGCATTTTCTAATCACCAGGTGTTTGACCTTACAGACTTCCCATACTTTCAGTCTACGTTGGGGTTGTGTCATTTCCTTGATTTGCAGACGGCAAACTGAAATAAAACTGCAGGAATCCCATCACACGGCATCACGCTGGCCACTGCATGACTCACCGGCAGGACTGGCTTTTATTCTCAGATGTTAATTCCATCGTGCTTGAAAAGCAGAATAACTGGGAGTACTAATAGTCCATCAGTCTCTGCTGAGGGAGCAGGCAGGAATGAGTCAGAGCCTGTGCCAACGGCTTCCCCAAATATTTGCTGACAACAGACAACTACCGCATGGCAGAAATCCTGGGTCTGCTGAATCCCAGGTTCTGCGGGAGGTATTATCCTTGATTCGGCCTGGATCTCCTGGTCCTTTCAGTCTGTCTTCTGCCTTGGTCCTGCTCTCATGTCCAGCTCAACGTCTGATGTCAGTCCCCCTCCCCAGGCAGGGGGTCCTCAGCCTTCACGCTGCACTAGGGCTTGCTCCCTCCCTCGGTCAGATTCTCACCCCAGTCAACATCAGTCTTCCCATGTGTTGGCCTAAGTATCATCAAAGGAGCATGTCCAAGAGTATCTCCAGGCTCCGCACTGTCCCTGAAATGTTGAAAAAACAATTTTAAAGAGCTGCTGCTCTGCACCTGCAGCAGGAGGCTGCAATGTGCTTGCCACACTCTCATCTGTGATTTAGCCGCCAGACTTGAACAAGTCTCCACTGAGCAAGTGCCTTCAGAGAATTCAGCTTCTAATTCTTAAGAAGTTTCTGTTGAGTGCCTGAGATCTGAGGCTTTTTTTTTCCTAAGGTTTCTTAGTTCAAATTTTTTTCCCCTATGAAGAACAACCAAAGGCACATTCCTGACATCTGCCAAATTTCAAGTCTCTCCTCCAAAGGCAGAAAGTGCTAGAGTTTCTCAACAGATCATTTTAAGAACATGTTTGAATATGAAGAAAAAAAATGTTTCTCTCTCGTCTCTTTCTTGTAAGCAAGAAAAACATTTTTTGCTGAAGCTTCCCAGATGCATTCAGCCTGAGACAGATACCCAGCATAGAAAAAAATAGCTAAACAGTAAACGGTTAAAGTTTGCAGGAGTTATGGGCAACTAAACATTTGGTCTTATAAGAAATGTTGGATAGCCTTCAAAACAGACAGAGGCACCAAGGTCATCAATTACATACAATTTAAACTGAGCTTCTGCTGAGCCAGGAGTGGAAATGAACACAAAATGCACAAATTTGATTGTAAATCCCTCAAATTTGGGCCTACCTTTGCATTTCATAGGAAGACCACCGTGAAGGCACCGTTCTTCTGAGGTGCCTGTGCCCTGTCACAAGCTGCCTAGACAGACACTGCTCAGGATCTAGACAAGCTTGGCAGGTTGGTCTCCCCAGGGACCTCCACTGGCTCCCTGCAAGCCCACTCTGGTGGGCTTGTATCTGCCCATCTCCCCAGTGCTCAAGGACCTCCGGGCAAGGCTGCTCATCCTGGGAGGACACCAGGCAGATGCAAGTGCCAGGTACATGTGTTGCACTCGCTTAGGAGCTAGACACAGTGTGGCACTGAGCTGGGCAGGGGAGCAAGGGCCTCGGCTTCTTGGATTTACTGTGTATTTGTGGATTATTTAGAGCCTGGAGTAATGGCCACCTTAGAAAACCCTCAGAGAAAGATGCTGCCAAATAGAGGGAAAGCTGTGGGTTGTTATTTTGGATCAGATCAGGGGAGTGGCATCACTTCGCAACGATGCTACAGCATCACCAACCATGCCTTGCCACACCCCATCTCCCGGTCTGTCACTCTGCTGAGCATTTCCACCCCCTGCCAGATCTGTCCATCATGCCATCACCCCAAAAATAGACCCTACACACACACGGTGCTTCTGCCTGCCTCACAACCCCTGCTACCCCTGTGGCAGCCCACACTGGGCCACTCTTGCTCAGGAAGCATTTGCCCGGCATGTGCAATCCTCTGCCACCTCATTTTCAAAGCGCAGGCAAAGCCTCTTCCTCATTTCCTTGTGCAGACATGAACAGGAGGCAGATAGGTGGTCTGCGGGCAGACGGGCTCAGCCTGTCCTTCCTTGCTTCCTCTCACCTCCCACCTTTTTCCAAAGATGGTCCCAGCACACTTGCACCTGGAGCCATGACACCTGCCAAATGGCCCCTCTCTCTGCTCCAGAAGCAGCTTCACCTGTGACCAGCCAGCAGGGACATTTCACGGTGCTGCTCCTCAAACCCCTCTTTCATAGCCACCTCATGATGCCTCCTCCTTGCAAACAGGAACCCACTGATTTATTAATTTTTGCTGACAGCCACAGAAAAGAGTAGAGCAGGGAGTGCAGAGGGGAAGAGAGAAGTTTGTTTTCATTTCTGGGGTTGTGATTTTGCCTGGGTGATCCAGAAAAGCTGCCCCTACCCAGGGAAGACGGTGCGGCCACTGCAGGGGCAGCAAGGGGCAATGCAGCACAAGGTGCTGTGGCACAGTTCTGTGCAGGGAACCCACGCACAGACCTTCACACAAATAATTAAACTCCAAGCCTCCTCACTGTTCTGTGTTCTCCAGGCTCTCCCCACGTGTCTTCTGTAATTCCATTTTCAGCTCCCTTGCTTCTTTCCACTCCCATTTTACAGATATTTTCCTGCCTTTGAGGGGAGCACCCCAGTGCTGAGACGATGAGTTTATAAGGCAGAGGGCTGCAGCAAATGCCTCACAAAGCCCAGCCAGCGGCCCCCGGCCCCCTTCCTCCCCTCCCCAAAGTTCACACGGTTTAGTATGCAAGCTTCCTGCCGCCTGCCCAGCCAGCTCACTATTCACAGGCAAACTCCGCTCCTCCGCTTGGCTCCCGGAGAAGAATAAGTATAAAAAGCCCTGAAAGTCTTGCTGCTGAGCCAGCAGGAAACTCAAACTGCTCTGAGCATGGGAACCAAGAGAACCGCTGTGGCCAGCACAACAGGTATTGTTTGGGAGGAAATCCCGGCAGCCGACGCAACTGCCTACGCGCGCGCACACACACACACACACATATATAATATATATGTGTATGTTTATGCTTAGTGAGAGTTTGGAAAAGGGGAAGGTTGGGAAAGCGTAAGAGGGTGGAAAAATAGATTAGCAGCTATATTCAAGAAAGAATAAGAGAGCTGCTCAGCCAAGCTAAACAGCTGTTTCACTAGCCCAATAACTGACCTGTTTGCCACACATTCAAACCATGTGGAACCTCAGGGTAAAGCAATGTCCTCTAGGCTTGGTCTCTTGACAGGTCTTTCTACATGCCTGTTTTTGTTTGCATCAAGAGTGAGCTTATGAGGCAAATCTCCCATTTGTCCCCACTTGCCATGTTTCGATTTACATCAGGGAGCGATTTTTTAAACTGGATTCCTTTTGCGTGAAAGGAAACCAGGAGATGGACTCCAGGAGCGTATCTCCTGTGCTCCAACCACAAATGAGTGTCCCATCCCTGAGAACCAGAACAGAAGCAGTCCAATAAAAATCCACTGACATACCAAGTCCTCAGCACCAAACAGCCATCTCTATGGATCTGCTCCAGCTACACCACACCAGCTGCTAACATCAGCACAGTCTATCTGCAAATATGGTAAATTTGAGTGCAAAAAAAGAGAAGGAATTGAATTACATAACTTTTTCTTTCACCAAAACAGCTCACAAATTCCACATTCACAAGGAGTCATAACATTTGAGTTTGACAGGATTATGGTGATCTAGAAGTATTTGAATGATATTTATCTTACAGTCTTTCTTGACCGAGATGCTATAAAGAAATAAACCTGAGAGTGACAGGTCATCCCACCCAACTCAGCATCCCTTGCAGCCATTTCAAGGAGCAGCAGCTGTGAAAAGCCCAGATAAGAGAACGTGTGACCCTACATGTCATGACCACAAGGAAATGGCTGGAAGAGTAACACACGTGCCTTGGAAAGCAAGAAAGCAAGCAGAATGAAAGTGCCAAACTTCAAGTCTACATGAAGAAACACAGGTGACAGATCATCCTTATGGGATTGATCTTTGTTCCCCAAATACTCCAGACTGAACAGCATTATGAGCACTACCAGGCAAGCGCCCAACATTATGCATGGCCACATTTCTGAACTGCTTTAAAGCTTTCTGCTTCAGGATTTTACTCACTACGCAGAGAGGGGTCAGCTACGAAAGTCAGATCTGTACTGAACTCTAGTATCTTCAAACAGTTCCTTTTTGGGGAAAAGAGGGGAGTTGATCTGGGGTTATGTCCTGGCCCCTCTGTAGTTGTAGGACCAGATGGAAGAGCATCCGTGCAACTGAGGTCATTCCTTTCACTTAGTTAGACAATTTTGGGATGGGAAACCTCAATGCACTGGCTTGGTTTGGACAAACACCAAAAAGCAGTTTGGGAACCTGGCCGAAACAAGCTGATTCTCCAGAGTCTGTAACACCAGTGGAAAATGCGGGTAAGAATTTACCTCTGCTATTAGCAGCTTTCCCATCATAGGTTTTTCCTGTGCCATGTGGGAGCTCCGGGGTACTCAGGACTTCTGCAGTGCTCCTACCTCTGACAGTCCCCTGCAGGGTCAGGAGCCTGCTGAGGGAGGGATGATCTGAACTCTCACCTCCCAGGTTCCTAAAAGAAAAGCCCTCTGAAAATGAATGTATCCTAACACTGTGCTAACTGCCTTAAGGGCCCGGCACGTGGGCGCTGAGCAGCAGAGAAGGTCTGGTGAGATGTCAAGAGCCAAGCAACAGGAAAGGCAACTGGTTTATGCACAGATAACCTGGGATGTTCAGAGCAGCCACATGGAGCCAAGAATGGAAAATGTGACCGGTCCTTGGTGGCAGAAGGGACCAAGTCACATGCAGGAGATTTTAGCTGGGAGTGTGAAGCTCAGAGCTTCCCACCAGCACTCCTCCCTGCTATGGCTGCCTGGAAGAAAATAAATCAGGGCCCAAGGGAGCAGCAGTTGTTGGCCCCCGTGGATGTACCCATTTCCAGCCTGCAGGATGCTCACTCCTTTTCTTGCCTGTCCCCACTCCAAGAGTGCTCTGTGGAAAAGGGAATTAAATTGTAGCACCACATTCCTGCGTGGCAGATGGGCCACATTGTGGACTGCTCCTGGCCCAGGTAGCGTTTCATGTGCACTGTACCCCAGGCACAGCCACGTGGCTTCCCCTTGCCCTTGCATTTGTGTAAGAGCAGTGCTGGTCACAGAGAGCCAACGAGCAGTCCGGAGCCTCCCAGGGCTCCGCTGGATGAGCAGAGAACAGGCCATGCCATCACAAATACAATGGCCCCTGTGTCATCCAAGTCATCAGGCACAGGGACCGAGGGAGCAGGACCTCTGCTGGGGCTGGAAAGGAGACCCACATCCCTGGGGCTCAGGAGTGAGGGGAAAGGGGTAAAGCCCCCTCAGCAGCGGGCTGCAGGGGCTCTCACACACAGCCCTGGCACTGCGCCGCCCTGTTCACCAGGAAAACTGGCCACTGCTGCGTGGAGCCCCATTCAGCCTCCCAGGCCCACTCAGAGAGCTGCTGGTGGTGGCACTGCCAGCGCGGCAGACGCCCAGTAACAGGCACCGTGAGCTTTGCACAGCCGGTCCCTCACACCCACTGC